CCCTCTATTTGAAAACGAGTTAAATTGTCAATATTATTATAATTCAAAGTCAATTTTGTGTGGTTCCACTTTTTATTATTAATTGCAATTCTTTTTTCAGAAGTTAAATTTTATATATTATTTTAATTTTTTAGTGAATTCTTATATAATATATTATTGATTTTATATTAAATCCAGCCAAATACATTCTTAGTTAGTATTATTATAAGTCAAAGACAACTTTGTCTGGATCTACTTTTTATTGATTGCAATTCCTTTTTTAAAAAGTTAAATTGTTGATGTCATTTTTTTTAATGAACTCCTATATAATATATCATCCAATTGCCATTCTTAGAGTATTGTTATAGTCAAAGACAATTTTGTTTAGATCCACTTTTTATTAATTGTGATACTTTTTTTAAGAAATTAAGTTCTATAAAATTATTTTTTAATTTTTTAAAATGAATTTCTATATATTATATTATCCATTTTATATTAAATTCATTCAAAATTATATATATATATATATATATATATATATATATATATATATATATATATATATATATATATATATATATATATATATATATATATATATATATATATATATATATATATATATATATATATATATATATATATATATATATATATATATATATATATATATATATATATATAATAACTAAAAGTAGTAAAATTCACCAAAATTGAAAGTACGTTTTCGATTATTACTAACTTGAATTGGGTTGGTGAGTTATTTATTTATCAGAATTATTTATACTATAGTTTCTATAGTCTTTATTTCTCTTTCATCTATCAGTAAATATATACAAAATATTTAAAAATTTAACTTTACCATTTTAGTATTTTTTTTTCTATAAGTAAATAATTTTTTTGACTATTCATAATCACTAACAAATGTTCAAATAAATATTAAAAATTGTTGTGACACATTTTTAAATTCAAAATTTTATATATATATATATATATATATATATATATATATATATATATATATATATATATATATATATATATATATATATATATATATATATATATATATATATATATATATATATATATATATATATATATATATATATATATATATATATATATATATATATATATATATATATATATATATATATATATATATATATATATATATATATATATATATATATATATATATATATATATATATATATATATATATATATATATAATTTATTTTTATATATTTTTCGCACTTTACCTTAAATGTTTTTAAAACCATCATTAAAAGTATTAATGTATTTCTTTGACAAAGGCAATAATAATATTATAATATTATATTTTCCGAATAATAATATTATTATATTCCATTATATATATCAATTATTCAGACACTGATTTTCATATAAATTTTACCTGAAAAAAAAACCAGTGTTTGAGATTCAATCAAAATTCTTGTAGTAAAAGAAGAAGAATTTTTTTTCTATGATGAAGAAAGAGAGTGTTTGATGTGGAAAACGAAGCTCCGAAAATCTATCGTTTTGGATTTTGATCGTATCAGCGAAATCATCGCCACTTCAATCGGTGTCGTTTTGATTCCTTACTCAATAACTGTCACTGACTTGGTCAGATTCAATTCAAGTAAGCTCAAACCCTAGCTTCATTTCAATTTGATTCAATTAACTGAATTTTTTTATGCTTAATCTATGATATGTTTTGGTGTTGCTTCAATCGTTAACGGAATAGTGAAATTTTCTATCTTATCTTTTGTTGATTTTTGTTTGTTTTTGATTTGTTAGTGATGAGAGTGTTACTGTTCATGATTCTATCTCAATTCGTTTACTTGATGGATTTTGTTGATCAAAATTGTGTTTGCTGAGTTACTATATCAATTTTAACGTTTCTGTTATTTTTAATTTTTTATATATTTTTTTTCTGGATTTAGGATGATGAAGCTAGTAGATATTGTAGTTAAAGTGATAATAAACTTGGATTTTTTTTCTTTTAAGATGCGATTTCTAAATTGGAGGGTTATTAGATACGATTGGATTAATTTTGATTGTGTATAATCTGTAGTTGGATTTTGTATCCAAATTGGTGCAGCATTCGTTGATTATTCACGCTGTCGTTTAATGAAGGAAATTTTGTTGCATGGCCATTGAAAATGTTAAGGATTTTTGTGTTAGATTTCTTTTATATTATAATTATATATTATGTCTGAGATTGTGTTACAAAGATTCAACTAAGTTTTAGGTTGCTTGTCCACTTCCAAACTCAACCCTCTCATTTTATTGGGATTGGGACCAACCAACTATGCATAACAAGGCTAACGTACTGGAAATTTTATGTTACAAAAATACTGCTTAGGGAAAATATTATAAGACAGTTGTAGCCGGCAATGTTGTTTGGGATAGTGTTATAAAATAAGTGTATTAAAAATGAAGATGTTGGTTTAAATGCATGGTAATGGCTCAACATGATAAGATTAGAAATGGTAACATTAGAGAGAGAATTGAGGTAACACCTATCGTAAAAAAGATGGTAGAAACTAGACTTAGGTGGTTTGGACACAGTGAGAAGAAATGTAAATTCTATAATAAAGAGAGTATATCGGATGGAGGGTAGTCAAACCACCATAGGTAGAGGAATACCTACAAAAACTATACAAGAAACTACTAAGAAAGATTTAGTGGTTAATAAGTTGGATAGGAACATGCGAAGATGAAGGTGCAGTTAAGATCTGTTATTAGAAATCTAAGTGGTGTATGAGAGTCTAAAAGAACTTTCTTTTGAAGGGCTGAGTGATAAATATGCGGAAACTGCAATGGTGTTTCTCATGGAAGAAATGTGTACCTTATACTTTCAAAGGATTTGATCTTGAGATGTATTGAATAGTTTGTTTGGAGTCCCACATTGCTTAGATTCTCGGGGCGTTGGACTTGGATGTATAAATGTACTTAGGCACCCTCACCCTTTGAGCTAACTTTTGGGATGAGATCCAAGCTCATTTAACATGGTATTAGAGTCGGGTTAAGGACTCAATGTGGAAATTGGCCTCAGGCCCGCCCACACTAGGCATGAAAGTGGGTATTGAAGTTGTTTGTAGTTTGTTTGAGTCCCACATTGCTTAGGTTCCTGGATTGTTGGATGTATAAAGGTACTTAGGCACCCTCACTCTCTGAGCTAGTTTTTGGGATGAGATCCAAGCTCATTTAACGGGTATTAGAGCCGTGTTAAGGACTGCAATGTGGAAATTGGACTCAGGCCCGCCCACACTAGGCGTGAAAGTGGGTATTGAAGTTGTTTGTGGTTTGTTTAAGTCCCACATTGCTTAGGTTCCCGGACTGTTGGATGTATAAAGGTACTTGGACACCCTCACCCTTTGAGCTAGTTTTTGGGATGAAATTCAAGCTCATTTAACAAGATGGAAGGGGGACATTTGTGGTTCAATTTGATATTCTACTAGGAAATCCATTGTAGAACTTGTGAATGCCCTAGAAACATGTACCTTATATTTTGACCATAGTTCTAAATTGCAGTTATGGTTGTAGTTACACAGCAAACCTTGATATTGCAGCAAAATTTAAAAAAATGCGGCTGTAACTGCAGTTGCAATATTGTTGCAAAGACCTCTGACGCTTATTGTGCCGCAATTGCAGTGACCAAATTTAGAACTATGATTTGGATTGCACAGATTTCATTAGGAAAAGGCTTTATAATAAGTCATGCATTATTGGGCACATCCTTAGGGTTTATGTCCCGTGTATTTTAAATACATATATTCAATTCTCTAATTTTTGGTAGAGTTTACTTTGATGCTTGTTGAATGAATGGAAGCTCTATTTATTGGTATAGCTGATTACTGAGTGCTGGCAAACTGTTTTCTAGGTATGAATAGATCCTCTACGGTGAGTGGTTTTAAACAGAAAAGGGTAAAATTATCTCATTTGATATTGAAATTTAAGCGGTCGTATTTTTTCTTTGGAAGAAGAAAAGAATAACTACATAGACTAAGCAAGATTGTGTATTTTGATCATCATCCGAGGAAGTCGAATCCTGTTTGCAGCCTCTGTAGTTCAGCAGTGTTGAAAACAAAAAGGAAAAAGATGATAGGATACATGGAAAGGGCCTAAAAAGTAAGGAGCAATGTGTTATATATGAGATCTCTTTACTTGTGCCACTTTTGGTAGCCTCAATCTCTATTGATTTGATTCTACTTCTTCTTCTACATTTAGAAACATATACCTTTTTGCTTTTAGTGAAAAATGTACTACATACAACTGCTCTCTGAGTTCTCACGACTTTCCCGAAGACTTAAAAGCACTCCTTAACTTAAAGTTGGAGACATAAACTAGCTAATTGTTTTTGTGCACATTATTAATTTTTCTATGTGCGTATCTGTGTGTCTATCTATGTGTACATTATATGCACGCAATGAGTATTGTTCAGTGCTATTATTGCATTTAATCTATCGTTATCTCTCTATTTCGGTTGTGATATTTTTAAATTGGTTGTGACAATTGTTTAATTTTCTTGAGTTACTAATGAGTCTGTCTTTTATCAGCTTTGCTGCAGATATTAGAGATTGATATGATGTTTCTGCACCTACCCATCCCCGTGCAGTACTGATTGGATACCTCTGATTCTTATCTAATGTGTAGTATGTAACAGGGCCTGTTTGATGTGCCACACCAAGCTGGCTAAGGTGTGATTAAAATTCAAGTTTGGCAGTTTAATTTATTCAAGTTTGGCAGTTTATATTTATTGAAATTGAAAGAGAGGATTCGTAAATTATATTTTCGTTTGAGTTGAAGGGAGAAGTTTTGTTGGGAAAAATAAAAAAAGCATCTTAATATAGTTCTTGGGATACACTTTCAAGTTCAACTTGAAGAAAGGGGATTGCTACTGAACTGAAAGAGTTATTACACCGTGCTCACATATTCAGTACATGATCTATTATTTTTTCAGTACATTTTTTAATTATAAAGGATTTGATATCATGGTATAAGGAAAAAATGGAGCGTATTTCGGAAAAACGATATCCTCTCAGTGCAGTAGATTACAAGTTATATGAAGAGGTTGGGGAAGGTGTCAGTGCCTCAGTATTTCGAGCTCTCTGCATTCCACTCAATGAGATTGTTGCCATCAAAGTACTTGATCTTGAGAAGTGCAATAACGATTTGGTATGTGGGTTAATCTCTTGACACTATTTTTAATGTTTATCTTTTTCAGTTACCTCTGCATGTGCTGAATTTTATTGCATGTTTAGTTACTATTGGTCAAGCGATCCAACACTTTCGATTTCTAAAGGTGTGAAAAATATTGTGCTTGTTTGAGTTTGCCAAGTTGCTACAGAATGAGGCTCTTTTTATGTAGGCTCTGTTTAATCCAATTACCTTTATTTAACCTAACTAGCATCATTATGTTGTTTTCATATTGTACTTCACTAATCCTTTCACTTAAGTTGTCTTGCTGCATGATTGGAGTCACTATTACACTATTTGGTGCCAAATCATGTATTTGTATCTGTTCAGTTGTTTGCTCTTTAAGTCTTGTGAGTTAATATGTGTACTTGCACAGTTGACTCCATTTTCTATATTACAAGAATAATTTCTATCATTAGTTCATTGTCTGATGAATAATTGTGCAAATGCTTATTCCATTGCTGTACACAATAAATTGTGTGAACATCTCTGTGGGTGTGTATTCCATTGCTGTACATTCATAATGATAGGTGCACAAATATATGCAGGATGGAATTCGGAGAGAGGTACAGACCATGAGCTTGATTGATCATCCAAATCTTTTAAGAGCGTATTGCTCTTTTACTGCTGGGCACAGTCTTTGGGTTGTGATGCCCTACATGGCTGGTGGCTCTTGCCTTCATATAATGAAGTCCGCCTTTCCTGAGGGTTTCGAAGAACCTGTTATTGCAACTGTATTGCGTGAGGTTCTCAAAGCTCTTGTTTATCTCCATGCCCATGGGCACATACATAGAGATGTTAAGGTATTATGCTACATATTGCGTGAGGTTCTCAAAGCTCTTGACTTATACCTGTTCTCTTCTTTTTAAAAGATATGCATCCTTTTGAAATTTGATAATGTATATTGAGAATTTGTCAGCTAGAATTCTTAATTATAAACTAAGTGGAATAGTAAGGTCAAATGATTTTAAAAGTACTCAGTTTTCTGCTTTTGTGCTGCTTGTAAAGCTGTATCTGAAACCCAGTAATTAATTTCTTTTTATTTTCATAAATTTTTATCTACCTTTTCTTCACATGTTTGTATAATTGTATTTATTGAATTCTCTTTTATCCTCTTTTAAACATTCTAAACTATGCAGGCTGGGAATATTTTGTTTGATTCTAATGGTGCAGTCAAAGTGGCTGACTTTGGAGTGTCTGCGTGTATGTTTGATACTGGAGATAGGCAACGTTCAAGAAATACTTTTGTTGGAACACCTTGCTGGTACCATTTGCTTTCTATCGAACTCCTCTATTGTAGTTTTTCGTATGAAATCTGCTACCTTCGAATGAGTAAAACTGTTTAAGCTACACACTATGCTAATTTTCCACAGGATGGCTCCCGAAGTTATGCAGCAATTGCATGGATATGATTTTAAGTGAGTGTTCCCTCCCTCCACCACCAATCGCTCTTTTTCCTTTTCAAAAGGATCTTGCTCCGGGATATCTTAATCTTTGTTAGGTTTTTTTATTTTATTTTCATTTTCCTATAACAGAGCCGATATATGGTCCTTTGGTATAACAGCACTTGAACTTGCTCATGGTCATGCCCCATTTTCCAAGTATCCACCGATGAAAGTAATTTACTTGTTTCGTGTCTTCTAAATTTGTCTGTATTTGCCTACTGATAGCACGGTGAGCTAAGATTTGAATTTGTTTCCTTATTTTTCTGGATGCAGGTTTTGCTTATGACTTTGCAGAATGCCCCTCCAGGTCTTGATTATGAAAGAGACAAGAGATTTTCAAAGGTTTGTGGCGCTCACTCAAAGTTTTGTAACACCTGTTACTCAGGAAGGTTATTTATATTTATTGTTCTTCCTTCTTTCCCAGTCTTTCAAAGAGTTGGTTGCCACCTGCTTAGTCAAAGACCCAAAGAAGCGTCCAAGCTCAGAAAAGCTTTTAAAGCACCACTTCTTTAAACATGCACGTGCCACCGAATATCTTGCTCGCACCATTCTCGATGGCCTTGCTCCATTGGGAGATCGTTTTAAAACTCTGAAGGTTTGCTGTTTAATTCAAAGTTCTTCTGTTGTGTAAAATTGCTTGGGTTTTAACATCATTCCTCTGACTTCTTGTGTGTTTAAGGCTAAAGAGGCAGATTTATTGATGCAGAACAAGGCTCTTTATGAAATGGAGCAATTATCTCAGGTAGGTTGGTCATAAATCTCCTGTGATTTGTGCTTGCTTCTGGCACGGTCTATAAAAGTTCTGGCTTTTAGTGCAGTCTTAATTGCATGTCATTTTGCCTTATTTCCTTTTCCGTGTTGCATCTGACTTAAATTTGTAATTTGCAATTACACCTTGAGGATTTAAGTGATGCAACTATTTCAAATACAGAAAGAATATATTCGAGGAATTAGTGCCTGGAATTTTAACCTGGAAGATTTGAAGAGTCAAGCTGCTCTTGTAAGTATTTTCACCTTCCTATTTTGTATACTCTGTTTAATATTTGTGGACTAGTTGGGGAAGTTGGTCATTCCTGGAAATATCATCTTTTTTTGTTACATTTTTGTGTTGGCAACAGATTCAGGATGAAGACATGTCAATTGCAGAAAAGCCAGATACAGATAAGAAGAAAAATGACATGTCAATTGCAGAAAAGCCAGATACAGATAAGAAGAAAAAAGACATGTCAATTGCAGAAAAGCCAGATACAGGTAAGAAGAAAAAAGACATATCAAATGATTTAAAGGTTTCCGTGGAGGAGAAATCTGCTTCTAATCATTCCGAGGGTACATCCACATTGGACAAGGAGGTACTGCCGCTGTCCTAAATGATCTTATCATTTTCCTTTGGCTCTTTTTGAACTCTAAACCTTTTTTTAAAAAACTGGATGTGCCTGTATCTATAGTATTTCCGTTACATCTTATTTCAGGATGGATTCAACAATCTTCAGGATTTGGAAAGTTCACTTGCTTCATTCCCTGTAAAACCTCTTCAAGCACTCAAGTATGCTAACCTTTTACATTTTGTATTTCTTCCATCTCCTACTTAATTAGTTGTATCTTTTCTAGTGTTTGTACAATGTTTGATTGCGACTAGTTAAAGATTTGAGTTTTTATTTTACATAATACTGTGTCGTTTTGTTAGTATAATAAAGCACTTACCAAAAAAACCAGGTCCTTTATTTACCACTCATATCAATTCATCATTAAGTTTTTGTATATATGATGTGCCCATCTTTTTCCTATTATATGATCTGTTGAGAGTCCCACATCGGATAACATATGACCTGAACATGTGTTTATAAGTGGGAGCAATTTTCACTCTACCGACCCGTTTTGTAGTGTTGAGTTAGGCGCAACCACATTTCTTAACATGATCTATATAACATCTCCTTTATAGTTCATGCAATGTTATTTCAGATCCTTTTCTCCATTCATCTTTAAAATCATAAAATGCAATTGAATTTTTTTTGCATGATAAAGAATTAAAAGATAAGTTTGGACGAGGCAAATGCTACACATTTAAACTGTCAATTGATTTTGTTTTGGTTAAAATTTCTATTGTATTTTCAAGAATTATGTCATAATTTAGCAGTTCAGTTTCAATGAGAAAATGTTATTTCTGATTTGCAATTTGTGCAGAGGCTGTTTTGATGTCTGTGGTGACGATGATGTCAATAATACTAGTCCAAGAGATTTGGATCACAGTTATGGAAGAATTGATAATGAAAGTTCTGGGCCAAATAAAATGTCGCCTCAAAATGCTATAACTCAGCCTAAGAAATTTTTCACTAGCTCTTTACAACCTGATAATTTTCCCAAAAAAGTTACTGATGTGGACAGGTAACTTTTATTTGGACAATCCCATGTAAAGTTGTTATTTTTTTTTACTACTATACGAATTTTTTTGAGCTCGTTACTAGAACTTCTATACGGTTGCCTATTTGGAAATGAGCTTCTTACCAAATTAATTTATGTTACTAGAACTTGCAAATGCTTGAGATTTGCAACCATGCATGGGGTGCAGTGTCTTTGCCACATTATTTTTGTTATTTGTTATGTCTCTGTCATTCTTTTTTTTGGGTATTTTATTAACAAATAGTAAGTCATTGTTTTCCTTATAAAGTGAAACATGATTATTGAGATTTTATAGAAATTTGGTATCTGTCGCTAGCTTTATTTTGTAATGATATGGAGCTATGAGAATGGGGATATTTATTTTTATTTAGTAGAGTATATTTTCATTTCTTTACTACTGGTCATATTTGATTGAGTTGCAGTATTAGTGTACTGATTATAGATTTTGTATATCTTGAAAGGGATTATCTACCAACAAAATATCCTTCCGAAAGGAATCACAGTGGTCCATTGTTATATCGGCAGAGGAAAGATATCAACAACTTTTCATCTGGTATGTATATTTTTATGCAAATTTGATTGGTGTTTTGATAATCTTTATGTTTTTTCCCCCTCTTATCAACTAGATTTGCAGTTGTTTTATCCGTATAATAATCAGATCGAGAAATGGCTCTTACATAATTTTTTCAATGTTGCTTCAATATGAAGTTGATGACACATCAGAAGGAGCGGTTGTCCAGCGTAGGGGACGGTTTAAGGTCACATCAGCAGATCCCAGTTCAATGGTATGTATTTCATGACATATCTTTTTTTCTCCTTCCCGGTACTCTCGTAACCTCAAACAAGCTTTATTTGCTTGCTGAATCATCAAAGGGGGGCAGTCATTTATTTTTTAATCTTGAATTTTCCCATTAATTTCTAATTTAGAGCTTGCAAGTCTTACTATATGCAGTATTATACTATCTATTATTATTTGTATCACTTCCTCTTTTGTTATATTGATACTATAAAAAATTATGGATGCATTTAAACGTGCTACAATGTTGACACTTCAAAACATTGAGGATGGAAATTAAGTGACTTTTGTTTTAGGCTATGACTTTGTAATTATTGCCTTTTTTTACTCATTCAGGGTCTTTCAAACAACTTTTCTGGCCCAGTTGCTGGAAGTCCTTCTCCTACTCCTACCAGTCCCCCAAAACAGAACTTAATGGCCGCTTCTATTCTTCCATCACTGCAGTGCATCTTGCAACAAAACGGCTTGCAGAGGGTATGCTTCTGTTTGTATTTCTTAGATTTTTGTCGAACGACTAGTCAAAGTCATAAATTCATTTACCCCATGGGTTTTTGACAGGAAGAAATTATTAAACTGATAAAGCACACAGAGCAATCTTATGGTATTTCCTCTTGTCTTTGTGTGTGCGAATCTATCTTTGTATATATTTGTGTACTGGCCCTTAAAACCAGAAAATGTTGTTTGCTTCATTTGAATAATTTCACTTGTAGCAGGTAAGAATACAGAATCAATAGAGGCAGGAGCAGTTGATATTCTGCAGGTAAGTTACAGTCCTTTTTACATATCGAATTTAAGAACCTCTTAACATTATGTGGTCCAAAAAAATGTTTCTCCAGTAATGCTTTTTTTTTCCAATGTTGATGATCCTTGATTTCCATTAACTTGTGAATGTTTCAAAGCATTACTATGGGTGTTGATATTTAATAAGGTTATTGTTGCTTGATACAATGATATGATTATAACTAACATTTAGGCACACCATTATCTAGTTATAGTCCCTGGGTTTTCAACTTCTTCAAACCTAAACAGTCATTTTACCCGGACATTATTCAAGTGATACCGAGTTCCTCTGGGACCTCTTGGTGTCGTAATTGAATTTCAGTCAGGTATTGTTGCATTAATTTTATCCATAGAAATAATACACATGCTTGGTATGCTGCTTTTTTAGAGCGGAGAAGAGCAGCCAAATAATGCATTTTTGGTGCATATCATGACTTGGGAACATATTTGTTCTCTCAGCCGCCTCTTCAAAATCCATCCATCCCCAAGTCAATGCCCCCTTTTTTCTCTCTGAAATGATAATTCTTTTGGTTACAACCCTCTATGTATTGTTTAACAATTACTACTTATTTAAACTCAACACTCCAAACAGGAGAGGAGATCAAATGAAAGGTAGTCTAATAATTATCGGTAGAGGAAGACCATCAAAACATTAGAAAGGAAGGATGTGAATTTAAATGCATTGTTTGTTGACATGATTTATGACTGAATATAATGAAATTGCTTGAGCCATGCTGTGGACCCCACCACCGAGTCAGAAAAGGTTGTTAATCAAAACTTCACATGCTCTGCAGTAAAATCCTTGCAATTGTAGCACAATGCTGAAAGGGAGAAAGTATATTTTGAATTTAGGAACAATGGTTGGCATAATTTGGGGTGTAAAATAAAAATTTAAGCGGAAGCTTGATGACAAAAAGAGTCTTTTGTATTTTTTGTTATCTCAATGAGTTTGTTACGATAGCTGTTGTTTTGTTGAGTTGCCTCATATTAGTGCCACTTGCAGGCACCACCCGCTACAACTAGAGAGAAAGAGCTGCATTTGCAGGTGATTCAACTCCAACAGAGGTAGATGAATGTAACTATTTCTGAAAGTTTTGTATGTTTACATTCCACATACATCTTATTTTCTACTCTTATGTCAGCATTGGAAGCCTTGTCGACGAATTGCAGAGACAAAAGATGAAAAATGTTCAGGTGTGTTAATCTTGTTCTGTTGCACTTACCCATTTACACTCATGGTTCGAACAGTGATGCTTTGTGTGATTTTTTTTGGAGCTTCTTATTCTTCTTTTATGTTTACTATAATACTATAAACTATGTATGCTTTGCTCTTATTCTTACTTTTTCTTTCAATAGATTCATCAATCTATTTGTCTGTCTTCATTAAAATTACACATGTAGTACTAGCAGCTGTAAGATTCTTTATATTATGTCAACTAAGTTAGAATTATTTTCTTGATAACCGTATTGGGTTTTTTCAAGTCATCATTTAGGGTATCTTACTTTCTGTTTGATTTGCAGTTAGAGAGACAGTTGAGCAGTATGGTCAACAAAATTGAAAAGTGAAGAACAAGATGATGAGCGTTATCATGGTTTGATTAATCTTGGGGGATAGGGGCATATCTTATTACCATATGTGAACTTGTGGTTGCGGCAGACAGCAATTTTTGAGATGCTATTCCTTGAGTCACCTGTAAAATTTAATTTATTTGACAAGAAACTCAAATCATGTAATTATGACTCTTTCTCCCCCCTTCCTTTCTCCCCTCTCTTCCGAAATAATGATGACTCTCGAGGATTCTGATTAATGCATATAGAAGTTTTTAGCTCCTTAATACAAATGCTCTTTGCCTTTGTGTTTCAATTAATTTATCGTTGGCTGGTATTTCTTCATATCATCTGCTGGTATTTCTTCAATTAAGTTGGTGACTGTTTCTTGGCATAAATTCAAAAGACCTGATTCTTTTATGCTGAGAGCTGGTTAACTCTAATCTTGATTGGAGTATTCTTTTTTAAGCTAGGGTCATCAGAAACTCTAGACATGTTTTTTATCATGTTCAATCTAGTTTGTGTTCTAGTTTTAAGAGATTATATGTCTTTTTATTGAGGATAATTTAAATGGCAGGTGGATAATAGAAATCAAATAAATTTTGGTTTTGATTCTTGATTAATCTTCTCAATGTATCTCTAAAGGTTTCTATTGGAAAGTTAACTGTTAGCTTTAGCAGTTTATTTGTCCATCTTGTTAGTTTGTTAGTCGGTTATAGTTGGTTCATAGTTTTTTAGTTTGTTACAGACCAATATAACACTTGGTCTTCCACTTATAATCCAGACTTTTCATTATTAATTAATACAAGAAGCCTTCAAGGCCAATCATGTGTTCTCTTTCAAATAGATGTGTAATATGATATCAAAGAGCAACATTATAGCAAAATCAAATGAGCTTCTTTCATTCTTCTCCTTCTTGCTTATGCATTCATTCTTAGGGTTCTTATGTAACCCCTTTTCTTTTCACCATCCTCTATCAGTCATGTCTACTGATAATGACAATGATTCTGTTGACAATGACAATAACTCCACCACCAACATCGTCCTCAAAGATCCATCCATGAACCGTTAAAACCGGTGAAAACCATGGTTTCATTCTCTTAGTGCCACCACTTGATAATCATAACAGATCAATTTGCCATACTCTGACATTGACATTAAAGAACAAACTATCTTTCATTAATGAAACCCTAACCAAACTAGTTTTATTAGACCCTAATTTTGAGTCATAGGATCGAGCAAACACCATAGTTTTTTCTTGGATCAATATAACTCTTTCTCCTCGTATTGTTCAAAACACGATTTGATTTGAATCCGCCTTCGAGCTCTAGAAGGTTCTTCGAAAAAGATTTACCAAAGCCAATTATTTTCGTTTTTCTGATCTCTTTCAAAACCTTCATTCAATCAAGCAAGGTGACAAGTCGTTATCCCAATCCTTCACTAACCTAAAGATTCTATAGTACGAGCTTGACGATCTTCGTCCCACACCATCCTGTTCTTGCCCAAACCCTTGCATTTTCATCATTACAAGCATGAATGATCCCTACAACAACATATACACACAAATCCTGTTTATGTATCTTATCCCAAACATCTATCGTGTGTACTCGCTCATCATTCAACAAGAAGTCTCTATGTCTCAATTATAACACCCCAATTTTTCGTTTATTTTATTTTAATTGAGTTTAAAATGATTTATATTATTTTTGAGTGCCCTAATTAATTTATTGGTATTATTGAGGATGGGTAGAGTTTTATTAAAATCATCATTAACTTTAATTATGCAAATAATAGAAATAATGTGAAATTGAGTTTTGGAGAGGAAATTAGAATTTAAATTTAAATTAAGCAAAATGGTGGAATTAATGAGAATCGAGGGAAGTTAGTGAATTAATAAAAATAACAGGGTTTTACTTAAATAGAGATGGGAATTAGAGTTATGTGTTGTTTGGGAAAATAATCTGTCAACAGAGTTAGAGAGAGTCCTAGCAGAGGAAGAAGTAGGAGAAAAGAGAGATCCCATTGATGTAACTTGAAGCTTGCTGCAATTTCAAGGTAGGGGGATTGTTCATGATATGTGTGTTTAAGTATGAAGGATAGAGGAGAATCCTTAAGCCCTTTCATTTTTCCTTCATGGTTGAGAGATTTGAATCTTGAGATGCTTTATGCAAAACCTCTATAGATTGTTGTGATGTAAATATATTTTTCACGTTCCGTTAATTGTTGAATTTCGTGTGGATTCATGTGTCTAATTTTGAGTTTTGAGGTTCACGAATATATGCTTTGAATTGATAAACAACAAGCTGATTTTATGTTGAATTAATGATTAATGACAGTGAAAACCATAGCCTTATAAGTTGAACTCCATGTAGATGATTAGGTAGAATCATTCATGCTCAAAACTGGATTGAGATAGGTCTTGGGCGAAGAAATTAGGTTTTTAAATGGAATTCTCGGGACATAGTTGCAGAAACTGGGTGTTTTTCGTCATGGGCTCTATGGTAATCGATTACCACGTTAGAGCAAAGTACTAAAAATAATTATTCAAATGATTCAGCATGGACAAAGATAAAGCTAAAGCTATCTCCACTCAGATGGGTGCTTTCTGCATTTTGGATAAGGATGAAAGAGAAAATCTAGTTGAAGAAAGTAAGTATCGAGGTATGACCGATTCTCTCCTCTATCTCACTGCATCTCATTTTGATATCATGTCTATTGTGTACCTTTATGTCCATTTTCAAGCATCCACAAAAGAATTACATCTTATTGCAGTAAAACGCAGTATGAGATAATTCATCCATAAGGGATTATTTGTTTGGGTTCTAAGCTAAACCCTTTAAAAAAATTTGATTTGGGGATTTAGATTCTAAGTCGCCATTTTTAGTTTATAATCTTGACCCGTTCAAAAGGTTCCATTCATTCGAGATTAGATTGGTTTAAAATCTCACATTGGTTTGAGGTTATTGTTGTAAATGTGGCTTAAAACCTTTGTTGATGAAGATAAAGAAAACATATTTTGGAGATTGCATTTAGCACGAAAATCAGACGAAAAGTCGAGAAAAAAATGGTTGGTGAATAGTGCCGCCCGTACGAGTGAATAGTGTTGTCCGTACGACGAATAGTATTTTCGAGTTTTTGGGCTTTTTTCGATTCGGTCCATGGATCTATGTGATTTTGGACTTTATTTGTTGGATATTTGCTATTATAAATATGTATCTCTTATATGTTTGGTATGTGACAATCTTAGAGTTTTCACCAACAAGGGAGACCAAGGGTTTAACGGTATAGCATAGGGTTTCAGCTATGCACAAAGAAAATCTTGGATTACACTTTGGGTTTGAGTGATTCATATATTAAGAGTTGGAGAGGTAGAGAAACACTTGGGTAGAAAATAAGGTTGTTCTTGGGCGCATTTAGGGTTGTACTTGGGAACCTGAAGGCGAAAGATATTTTCTTGTAACTCATTTGTAATCTCTTGTAACAACTTTCAGAGTATAGTGAATTGGAGAGCTGCTCTCTCCCCTAGAGTAGATCGTTTGATCGAACTGGATAAACAAACCTTCGATTTTTTCTTGCCTTATTATGTTATATTATCTGTGTACGAATTATTATTGCTGAAGACAATTTATTTTGGTTGTTATTGTTCTTTGCCTAACAAATTGATATTGAATTTTGTCGTAATTCACAACAAGATTCACAACAAGTGGTGCGGTGAGCGTGGAGCAAAGAAATATTGTTGACAAGTGAGCACTATGGTTAGTAGATGGCAGATTGAGAAATTTTCCGGTAACAACGACTTCAGATTGTGGAAAATTAAGATGCAAGCAATTTTAATTCAAGAGAAGTGTATCGATGCTTTGAAGAGTGAAGCATTGATGCCTGCAGGGCTTACACAGGTACAAAAGACTGAGATGGTGAATAAGACCAGAAGTGTCATTATCTTGTGCCTCGGGGATAAAGTTCTAAGAGAAGTTGCTAGGGAGCAAATTACGGTTGCTATGTGGACAAAACTTGAATCATTGTATATGACAAAGTCTTTGGCTCACAAGTTGTATCTGAAACAACAACTCTATTCATTCCGAATGGTGGAGAACAAATCCATAGTTGAGCAGCTCACAAAATTTCACAAGATTATTGATGATCTTGAGAATATTGAAGTGAAGATTGATGATGAGGACAAGACTTTGCTCCTGTTGAGTTTATTAACCAAATCCTTTGAGCACTTTAAGGATTCCAATCTTTATGGTAAGGAAGGTACTATTACTTTGGATGAAGTCCAAACGGCGGTGAAATCTAAAGAATTTTCAAAGTCGAAAGATTTGAAGATTGAAGATAGTGGTGAAGGCTCAAATGTGCCAAGAAGAGGAGGTGAGCATAAAGAGATGTCCAAATCAAAGAGGTCTGATAAGTCAAAGGTAAAATGTTTTAATTTTCAGAAAATCAATCACTTTAAAAGGGATTGTCCTGAAAGAAAGGTCAATGAAGATTCTGTTCAAGCTGTAGTTGTATTGGATGAGGAAAGTTATGAGGATACCTGATCTGACCTGATCAGAAGAGGATCACGGGCTGGCCACGCTCTGTTGGACTGCTACCTGTTCATCGGTGATGAGGAGGAGAAAGGGGGGTGTACCTGCAAAACACTCTGATGGCAAAGTAAGGAGTCAGGAAGAGTGAGAGCAAAGTACAGAAAATGGGTAAGAAGTGAATTACCTGACCCTCTTGTGGGAGAGGGTATTTATAGAGAGACCCCAGCGCTGGGCCAACGGTCACTTGTGTTGGGCTGGATGGCCAGGTCCAACCTAGGTGACTACTAGGGCTTATGTGGCGTAGTGAAGACCAGGACGAGGTCTTCGCCCTATTCCAACTGTCCCTTGATCTCCGGGAAGTGGGTTTGACCTACTCTTTCGGAAGTGGGCAGTTGGTTGGTGACGTGTCCCCGCGGAGGGGAGCACGTGGAGACGTGTTGTTCTGCCCGACACGGAGGAGGTCCTGGCAGCGGGGGGTAAGGTCCTGCCTGC